ATATATATTCATGTTCGTCAGTATGACGGTGATGGTACCGAGCTGTCTTCCTCCCGAAAGGTAAAGGTAACGATAAATGGTGCGGTCTCAAATTGATATTACATTTCGTTTATCCTACAGCAAACTAATAAATACTGATGATTGTCGCGATACAATTATCAACTCTCCCTATACGACAAAAACTTTTATGACAAAAGTTACTGAGAGTTTTATCACATTTTAACAGTTGTAGATCAAAAACAAATTTCAGTTTGAATACGGAAGATCAATAGAGTGAATGTTGAATTCAATGAGAAATAAATAATTGAGTGAAATTTTATTTCTCTCAACTAATTTGCATATTTCACGGAATCATTATTTATTACTGGCCAGGACTGATAAAAGTTGATAATCAAGGCATTTTCATTTTTGGCAAATGTTCCTCGAGCAATAAATTTACATTCTGATGAAAATTTCCAAGCGTTTCAAAATACTGCAAAAATAACACATACATTATTTTTTTGAAATAAATGAACGAACAATGTGTAAAAAACTTAATTTCAAATTTCCGCTATTGAAATGAATAATTGAATAGTGATTAATGGAGAAATGAAATAATTGATTAACGCTTTTATTCATAAATTTTATTAAAAATTTTTAGGAAAAAAAACGAAAAATAATCAATCAATAACTGATAATCAACTTCTTAAATGTTGATCCTAATTTAAATTTAAAAAAAAAATTGAAATATTATTGCAGTGTAAGAGGAAGAAATTTACATCAAATAATTCCTTCTGATGTTCTTCTTTATCATTGGGTAAATGTTCGGGAAATGCTGCAACTCGGGCAGCCTGTTGGTCAAATTCACTTACCATACGTGCATAAAATTTCCCTTTTTCTTCAACCATTTCTGTGGTTCGTGCTTGTTTAAGCTTAAATAAATTTTTCATAAAAAAGGTTTACTATCAATTCTTTTTTTGGAAAAGAAAAGGTAAAAAAAGATAAATAAAAAAAGAATTCATTGAAGATAAATATTTAAAAAAAATGAGAAAAAATTCAATTTAAATTCAAACTAAAAAATATCAAATATGTTGATTAGTGGAAAAATTCAATTTCAAATTTCAAATTAAAAGATATCAAATATATCGATTAGCAGAAAAAATATTTTATGAAAATTTAATAGCGAACTTCATGTCTCGCCGAATCCATCGCATCGCGTGCTTGCATTAATTTCTTTTGCGCATTAATCATTGCTAATTGTTCTTGTGCCACAAATCGTCGCATTTTACGAATTGATCGACGACCTCAAACAGCAGAAAAATTGAAATTTTATAATTTAGAAAATATTT